TGAACTCCTGACCTCGTGATCCACCCGGACAGGCAGCTTTTACAACTGTCACTGCAAAATTGTGACTGAGACAGTGGAAGAGATCTGACCCAAACAACTCCATTTTGTTTACAGCCCCCAAGCTGTCCTTGCCCATCCCTGGGCATAGGCTGAACCAACTTTGGGAGGAGCCTGGTTTACAGTTGATAGTCTAAAACAAAGACGATAACAGCTGCTTCTCAAGATATACTTCCCTCTTGCTTGGGGACCAGACCAAGAAACTAGCTACAGGATTAGAAACCATGGCCCAAGAGCCATGTAGCTGGAGGCTACAAGATTTTGGCCCTCCCTAAACTGCTCTCATGATCAGTGCTTAAGATGTTTTGTAAACCCTGCCCTTGATGGATCAGCTGACACAGCCCAGACTGACAAACTGGCATATCTCATTTAGCACAAGAAGACAGCCACCATTGTAAAATGGCGGAGACTAAAAGTATTGCCATGCGGCTACAGATTATGTTCCCATGACATGAAACAAGATGGAGGCCTGTAGCCAAGTTTGCCAGTTGACGCTTTGCTGGGCTGGTTTGAACAGCAGGCTTGTGGGGTTCTCGGCCTGCATCCTGACCTAAGATACCTTTTCTTTCTTTCTTTTTTTTTTTTTTTTGAGACGGAATCTCGCTCTGTTGCCCAGGCTGGAGTGCAGTAGTGTGATCTCGGCTCACTGCAAGCCCTGCCTCCCAGGTTCATGCCATTCTCCTGCCTCAGCCTCCCAAGTAGCTGGGACTACAGGTGCCTGCCACCAGGCCCGGCTAATTTTTTGTGATTTTTTTTTAGTAGAGACGGGGTTTCACCGTGTTAGATGGTCTCAATCTCCTGACCTCGTGATCTACCCACCTCGGCCTCCCATAGTGCTGGGATTACAGGCGTGAGCCATCAGGCCCGGCCAAGATACCTTTTCTTTAACAGAACCATACAGAAAGATATACAAAGCAGAGCAGATTGTTTACAGCTTAAGACCAACCTCACAAATCCTTTTTCATTGATTATAAATTTAAAGAAAACATAAACAATCATCTTTATTATCCCTTTTATTATCCCTTTATTATCCCTTTTCCAGTTTCCACAGGAAGAGAGAAGCCAAAAGCCCAACCGGTAAGAAGATTTTACCCTTTTGCCAGCATATCAGGCTTCTGGGTTTCCTTCCCCCTAGCTCAACTCTACGCCAAGCTTTTTAAGGTTTGGAAAATTAACCTTTTCCATGTTGGAAGAACATTATAAAAGAGATAGAAGCCATTTTAAACTGCGGAAGAAGGAAAACCACCACAGAAAGGAGTTCCAATTAGGGTTGTCAGGAGGTATTGCCTCTTTTCCTATTGGGAATGGTGTTTCCCCTTTGCCTTCCCAATTTTTTCTTTTCCCTTTTGTTCTACTATAGGAGACATATTGCTTATCTCCAAAATTTTCTTCTGCTTGCAGAGCTGCCTGTTTTAGCTACAGTGAGGGTTTGCCTTAGCAGCAACATAACATCCCTTCACGAGAGGTTAAATACCTGAGTTAAATTTTGGAAAGGTTCTGTGTACTTATTAAGGTCGTCAGAAAATTGGCCTAAGTCTCCCTTTACTTGCCAAAGGTCCTGCAATGAGAAGGGAACTTGAAGGGGCCCCAAATAAGGGGGACCCTCAGATGACTTCCCTGAAAGTTACTTTTTTAATTTGGGGAGAACTGTTTTCCCTGGGCCTGCCCAATATGACTGCAAAAGAAAATAAGCCACTTTTTCTTCAAAGTTTCAAGGTCGAAAGAGTCCCAGTGCTTCAAAATACACCCAAGGGGAGTGCATGTTGAAGACGATCTGTTACCCATCTAGAAAGAGAAGTGAGAATAAAAGCATCCTTTTAGTCTCCTTCCTTTTGGTATGAGATCGAGAATGGAGAAGAAAGCAGTAGGAGGTGTCTCCCAACTATTTTCTCTCCTTCGTTCCTGGATTCCCAGCACCCATTTAAATATGCCACCCATGACTGCAGGTGTAACCCTCCAAGCCATGGCACCAGAGGATCTGAGTTTGGGGCCTTAGTCACGCTGTTTCCAAGCAATCGGTTTTCTGCCTTTTATTTCCCTTTGACCTCCTAGACTTGTGTGGCCTCCCAAAAAATGGATTTCAAGAAAAACCATGTAATTAGGAAAAGCCCCTTTAAGGGAGGGGGCGTGCTGGATTGAACCGTATATCCTGCTATTATAGCCCATGCTAAAGCATTTACCCATAGAAGAATGGTTCCGGTTAACTTCTGGACTTAAAATCCCCTTACTAATTAAGTACTGTCTTAGTAGGAGCCAGAATGGTGGCTTAAAGGAACATAGGAACTGAATGGCCATCTTCCTGCCAGCGGGACAATATTGAGACTAAAATTTGGCTACGAAAGACATCCTCCTCCTGTTAAAAAGTAGAAACTTACGGTTCTTAGAAGAGGTCTAGAGCCTGATTTCTACTAGGTGGCTTAGAAATACCATGTGCTTGCCAGATAAAACGTAGAGAGACATTTATTGAGTCACTGCCTGCCTTGATTCACAATCTTTTCTAACAGAATCCTGCCCATTTAGACACACACAGAGAGAGAGACCACGGATAGAAAGAGAAAGAAAGTTTGGCGACAGGGTAGCTGGAAGAGAGCCTTGAGATTAAAGGACGGATTTAAAGTTGAAATCCGCTCCATATTCACCAGTCTCATGATTGAATTTCCTTTCCCGGCCAATGCACCAAAATGATATGGCTCTGATGAGTGGAGGAATACCAGGGTTCTTGGTCCTCATGCCGGTTTAGATGAAATGACACGGACACACATGGAGTGGTTTTAAGGGGTGGAGAGCTTAATAGGCAAGAGGGGCAAGAAAGAAGGGAGAAGGAAGAAATAAGCAGCTCCCCTGTACAGAGATGGGGTAGGGGGGCCTCCAAAGCCAAAAGAGGAGGTCCCCTCCCATACAGTTTCTTAAATTCAAATGTTTAAATACGAACATCTCAATTCAGGATGCACCTCCCACTACCAATTTTTCACTCAGATCTATCCCAAGTTTCAAAGCCATATAGTCAGTGATCACCCAGAACTATCTCATAAGTACCTTATGTGGTTTAACCTAAAACTAAATTGTTTTCATCCCCACACCTCTTCTCTCTAAATTCATTATAACTTTGACAGGGGAGCTAGGAGCCACTCTCTTATTCACCAATAATCATCTTAGTCCTATTGGTCTTACAATAAAGTTGGCTGTTTCATGCCTACAAGAGTAGAGGCTTTTTCCTGAAGAACAATTTTGGGCCATACCAAAATAAGATCTGCATCCAGAAGTTGAAAAGGAATGATCTCCACTGTAAACTGATTTTAAACTATACCTGGAATATTCATGCTGAGCACTATATTTTACATTAAAGTAGAGCCATCCCTCAGTATTGGTTCCAGGATTGGTTCCAGGACGCCCATGGATACCAAAATCCTTGGATGCTCAAGTACCTGATATAAAAAATGGCATAGCATTTGCATATAACTGATGTACATTCTCCCAAATACTTTAAATCATCTCTAGATTACTTGTAATACCTAATACAATGTAAATACCATGTAAATAGTTGTTACACAGTAGTTTTAAATTTTTATTGCATTATTTTGAGGGTTTTCTGCTCAATATTTCCAATCTGTGGTTGGGGGAAACACAGAACATAGCCAGGCATGGTGGCTCACGCCTGTAATCCCAGCACTTTGGGAGGCAGAGGTGGGCAGATCACGAGGTCAGGAGATTGAGACCATCCTGGCTAACATGGTGAAACCCCATCTCTACTAAAATACAAAAAATTAGCCGGGCATGCTGGCATGCACCTGTAGTCCTAGCTACTTGGGAGGTTGAAGCAGGGGAATCGCTTGAACCTGGAAGGCGGAGGTTGCAGTGAGCCAAGATCGTGCCGCTGCACTCAGCCTGGCGACAGAGCAAGACTCCATCTCAAAAAAAAGAAAAAAAAGAAAAAAGAAATGCAGAACATGTGCATACCAAGGGCCAAGAGCCAACTCTATAATACCTTACACTAGGGTCCTAGGAAGTCCCACCTGCTAAGGGGACTCTGGTGCCACTAAAATGGAAGTGATCAAGGATGCTGAGAAGGCCAATTTCTGGTCCTGCCCTTTCTCAAACCAAAAGAAAACAGTAATGGCGAAGATTCACTTAAGAACCAGAAAGGGGGCGGGTTTGGTGGCTCATGCCTATAATCCTACCACTGTGGAAGGCCGAGGCGGGTGGATCACCTGAGATCAGGAGTTCGAGACCAGCCTGGCCAACATGGCAAAACCCGTCCCTACTAAAAATACAAAAATTAGCTGGGCACAGTGCAACGCGCCTGTAGTCCCAGCTACTCAGGAGGCTGAGGCAAGAGAATCACTTGAACCCGGGAGGCGGAGGTTGCAGTGAGCCAAGATCACGCCACCGCACTCCAGCCTGGGGTGACAGAGCGAGATTCCGTCTCAAAAAAAAAAAAACCAGAAAGGCACTAAGAGATGCACAGTAGGCAAGTAGGCACTCAATAAATATTAACTGAATGAATCATTCTAATATGCACTGTGCAAAGTGCTGGCAAGATACAGTAGTTCAGAGAAGTGCTAAGTATTCAAAAAAGATAGATTTGTACTTTCCAGGATAGAGAAAGATGTCAACCATACTTTTTTTCTTTACTGCAACATTTGTATTTGTAGAGTGCTTTGTAATTACAAAGCATTTTTATATTTTCACATTCATTTAATCTGTACGTGTTAGACTCCAGACTGGAAAGGGACTGACCCAGGTACCAGCTCTCTTCTAGGACACAGAATACTCATCATAGATGAAACAACTTTAAAATGATTATGTAGTGGAAGAATGAAAAGTATTCATCTTGCGACCAGGATGAATACTTATCTCAACTCAGGATGCACCTTTCTAGGGAGAGGTGCATGCTGAGTTGAGATAAGCCTAGAAACCAGAAAAGAGAGACGGCCCAAACCTACCTGAGACCTAGCTGCAGAGCATGGTGGCCATTTCTTCCACTGCTTCTCAGAAACCAGCAGGACTGTAAGCCAGGAGTTCAAGACTGCAGTGCACTAGATCCGGCCTGTGAATAGTCACTGTGCTCAGCCTGGGCAACATGGCAAGAACACATCTCTAAAAAGAGAGAGGGAGAGAACGATGAAAAAGAAAGACTCTAAAGAGCTGGGAAGGGAAAGAAGCCACAGATTATCAGACCCACCTTGACAAAATTCCCACCAATCAGTGGGCACTATATACCCTGCAATTCCCAAAGGAGAGGTCAAATGAGAGTCTAGTAGTAGTCCTACTCACTCCCAGATCTAGAAAAGCAGGCCATGAACTGTTATTTTGGCAAGGACCTCTCTCCCAGAATTCCCAGATCTAGGTGGAGACTGCTCTGTTTCTCTACCAAGAATTGGCAAACTACTGCTAGCTGGCGGCCCAAGCTAAAACACACAGACACACACATTATTTTTTACATTTTTAAATGGTTAAAAAAAAAATCTCATGACACGTGAAATTTACAGTGAAATTCAAATTTCAATGAAGTTTTGTTGGAACACAGCCACACCTATTTGTTTACTGTCCAAGGCTGCTTTTGTGCTACAACAGCCGAACTTACAACCATAAGGAGATTGCAAAGCCTAAAATGTGTACTATCTGGCCCTTTGTAGAAGTCCACCAACTGCTTCTACACCATGGGGTGGGGTCTAGGTCTATTTACTAAGCCAAACAACCATCCAAGCAAAGAAGCAACAGCAAAGCAAAGAAATAAAAGAAGCAACACTCCTGGAGGGTAAAGTGGGGAAGCGTCCGAAAACAAAGTCAATTAGGAGAGCTTTGAAGCAGGGAAATGGATAGAGGCACAACGCCAGAAGTCCAGGTTCAGAGAAGGATCATCTCCGCTCAGGAAGCAGGGGGACAATGCTACTTAGAGCAAGGACGCCCTCTGTCGACATTCCTTGATTGTGCGCCTTTAACTGTCTAAAATCAGGGTGGAGGTATGCGGAACGCAGAGCCTGTGGGAAGAGTTAAATGGGCGGGTTCAAGAGGAGCGGTCTTCTCTTTCTGGAGTGGCTGGTGTTCCTGTACTCTTTCACCAAAGTCTTCCGAAAGGAAACTTGGGTTTAAGTTCGCACTAACAAGACATGCAACTCGCACTAACAGATGTGTATCCCTTTCCTCTCCCTAACTTCAGTCCCTTAAGTTTGCAGAGAGGGCAGCTTCTCGGAAGCGAGTCCCCTTTTCATTCTTTTTTTTTTTTTTTTTTTTTTTTTTTTTTTTGAGATGGAATCTCGCTCTGTCGCCCAGGCCGGAGGGCAGTAGCGCAATCTCGGCTCACTGCAACCTTTGCCTCCCGGGTTCAAGCGATTCTTCTGCCTTAGCCTCCCGAGTAGCTGGGACTACAGGCGCGCGCAGGCACGCCCAGCTAATTTTTGAATTTTTAGTAGTACAGACGAGGTTTCACCATGTTGGCCAGGGTGGTCTCTTATCTCCTAACCTCGTGATCCGCCCACCTGGGGCTCCCAAAGTGCCGCGATTACAGGCGTGAGCCACTGCGCCTGGCCCACCATTGGCCACCCTTTTCATTCTTAACTGAGACTCCTCCCTGCACCCCAGCTCCTGTCGATGCTCGACTTCCTCCCGCCTCCGAGGGGCCGCGAGTCTACCGACTGGCGGGGTAACTCCCCTTGCCAACCCCACGAAATGGCCCGCAGTTTGGCTGAGACGGGTAGGACACCCAAGGGACCAATACCACCTTCCATAAGATGGGATTCGAACCTAAAACTCGTTCTTAACGGCCCTAGGTGCAAGAGCTGCCCCTCCCTGAACTACGACTCCCTCAGGTTTCAGAAACAACAGCTCCGCTACCCAGAAAGAGACGTAGGGAGGAGCCCAGCTTCCGGCTCGAAAGGGACTCTGGGACACTGGGCGGGGCCAGGAACGCAGTGTTCCTGGGAAATGGGGTCCACAGCCTCCGCTGCGCAGGCGCCGCTCCACGCAGGCGCCGTGGCCCTGCTTCGCACTCGCTCGGCTGGAGACCCCTGTCCCCGAGAGCGCGCACGCACCCTGCCGGGGTACTAGGAGGCGTGGCGGATGCTGAGGCAGGCACTGCCGGTCTCGGTGGCGGTGTTGTGGTGAGGGCGGGTTTATTTCAGGCTGACTACTAATTTAAGTGGGAGAGACACGCAGTTTGTAAGATCTTCCCACCCCAGGGGGCAGATCGGCAGCGGAATGTGTGGGTGCGCACCCACACACTGGCCCATCTGCCTCAGGAGCCCTGCTTCAGGGGCCCGAGGAACTTGTCGACGAGATTTCTTGAAGTAAATGCCTTGTCCCCAGTTACAGCGCTACCGTCATGTCCCTCCGAGGAGATGGCAGCAGCCTTTCGCTCTCATTGGTCTCTAAATGAACCGTCATGTACCTGTGGACGGCCTGAGGAATTACCGATCTCATTTCCAACCTGCACCCCGCCACGCTTCCACCGCGGCGCTCACCGCCCCCATTATTTTGAAGCACAACTCAGAATCGTAAACATTTCGGTACCAATTTCTAAAGATGGAGACTCTTCGAACAGAGTGACATCTTTATTATATCTCTTCAAGTCACAATGTCAAATATCAAGTGAATGAATTTCCCTACTTGATGGAAATTTGGGGGTTTTCCGTTTATTTAAATAAGGATCCAAATAAGTTCTACAGCTTAAAGTTAACTGACATGTCACTTAAGTCACTTTCTTCAGTCTCTTGGCATTTCTCTTTTATCTCTTTCAATAGATTTCTTGGGGAAACTAGATTTTATCCTGTAGAGTTTCCCGCAATCTGGACTTCACTGATTAGTCAGGGTGCTATATTTCATGCTTCTCTGCCCTCTGTGTTTTCTATAAACTGATAGCAAAATAAATAAATAAAAATAAACTGATAATAGGCTTGATCTGATTCAAGTTTAATTTTTTGGCCAAAGTATTTCATAGGAGATTTGTGTTTTATCAGAAAATACATAATGTCTGGGTTTCTCTTTCTGAGATTAAACAACCATTAAAGATTATTACCTAGATCCATTAGTTCATTAGGAGTTGCAAAATAGTAATATTCTAAACCTATCATTCATTATTCACTTATAAATTGGATTATTCCTACAAGGAGAAACTTCCTCTCATCAACTAGTTGTCTACCATGGGTACCAGTTTATATAGGAAAGTAATAAATGCTTGCTTTATTCCTTTATTTAACATCTTTCAAAATAATAATTTGTTCCCTAGGATACGAAAACTGACCAATGAGGTTTTGTTTATTTAGTTGTTTATTTGCTTGCTTCTTAAGTGTTGTTATATACCAAATTCCTGTGACATGTGTTTCAAATCCTTGTAGTTATTATTCCTATTGATGCTCAAATTGTTCCATCTTTGACCTATGGAAGGCTTTTTAGATTGATTCCTGAGGACTTTAACATAACCCTAGTTGTCAATACTTCTTTATTTTCTGAAATGATAAGGTGTACCAGGTTCAACTGGCACACTTCTTGCCCCATACCTAGATTTAATAATTTCTTCTGGAGACCCTGGTTCCTTTTAGTGGGAGCTGGTATTTGCAAACCACAATCTAGGTGCAAGTGGTACTCATCATTGTTGAAAAGTCATGTGTCTAGACCTCTCCCAAATAGAGCTACAGTTCAAACCGATACTCCCAATTCAAATTCAAACAACAGGATTTTTACTTAACCTCATCAGTCTTACATCTGTGTCTCTATTCTCCAATGTTGGAAACCCAAATTATCAGTTATGCCGATATAATTACTCATTTACTTTATCAAACAATACACACATTTTTTAAAGTTTCAGAACAATTATGATAGTACCACCACCATTATTATTGAAAAGTTTAAGATTTTTAAAAAATTATTTCTGTCCTTAGAGTATACTTTACTAGAGATATACAGTCAAGTCAATGAATCTTAAAGTAACTTGGAATAATTTTTCTCTGGGTGTTATAATGCAGCAGGACGAGCCGCAGACAAAACTCCTCAGACACCTGATTAAAGAAGGAAGAGGTTTTTTATTCAGTCAGGACCGTCAGCAGATTTGCATCTTAAGAGCCAAGCTCCCCAAAAAATAAATTATTGGCCTTTTTAAAGGCTTACAACTTGAAGGGGTCCACATGAAAGGGTCATGATAAATCGAGCAAGCATGGGAAACGTGACCGGGGGCTACATGCATCAGCTAACAGAACAAAAAGTTGTACGGTGCTTTTTTCATACAGTGTCTGGAATTTACAGATAACACAAGTAGTTTAGGTCAGGGGTTGATGTTATTATTATTACCTTTTATTAATTCCTAGGGCCGGGTGGTGGTGCCAGGGTTGTCTGGCTATTTATCTTACTTTTGTTTCTTTCTAACTTTTTGCTTTTTCTCTCCTCCTGTCTTGCGAACTAGGCAAGGTGGGGGGAGGAGGGCAGCAGCAGTAGTAGTGGTCTCCTTCCTTAATAACACCAACTCCACCGTGTAGTAGACCATATGATGGCCCCCAAAGATATCCAGGTCCTAATCCTTAGAACTTGTGAATGTTACTTTATAATGTCAGAATGGATTTTAGGTGTGAATAATTAGGGATCCTGAGATGGGGAGGTTATCTTGTTTTTCCTGGGGAGCTCTGTATGAAATTATAATTGTAAGAGACAGGCAGAAGAAAATTTAACAGGGGAGAAGATGATAATGTGACCTCAGAGGCACATATTGGAGTGATGCAGTCAGTAACCAAGAAATGCCAGCAATCAGAAACCAGAAGAGGCAAGGAACAGATTTTACCCTAGAGCTTTTGGAGGGAGCATGGCCCTGACAACATTTTGATTTTGGCCCAGTGAAACTGATTGCAGATTTCTTGCCTCCCAAACTGTGAGAAACTGTTCCAAGACACCAAGTTTGTGGTGATTTGTACAGTGGCCACAAGAAACTAATATACACAAGTTCCTTTGTTTCATTGTACTTTCTAGGTTTATGGATTGCTTTTTCTTTAATATATTTTGGTTTTATAATTAGGTAAAGTTTTTTATGCTATCAAAGTAGAATCCACAAAACAAAGTACTCTAGAGAAACCCAACTTCTGTTCCTATGCCCTCTACCTGGTTCACTCCCTCCCCTATAGCTAACCACTTTTAAATTTTATGGTTTATTCTTCCATTATTTAGCATAAACAAATGTGTACATATATATTTCTATCCCTTCCGTTCTCTCTTAAACTGTAGCATACTATTCATGCATCCATCTTGTTTTTCCCACATAAAAATAAATCCTAAGGATCACAGAGATATTTCTCATTCCTTTTTACAGTTGCATATTACTATATTGTTTGGTTGTTTTACAGTGTATCCAAGCGGTCCTTTAATGACAAACATTTGGAGAATTTCCAAAAGGTGGAAAGTAAGGAGAGAGAAAGAAGCATAGATAAAGTGAGACAAATAGAAAACAAATAGCAAGAACATAGACTTAAACCCAGACACATTTGTAATTATATTAAACATAAATGGATAAATATTTTAAGTGAAGATCAAATTTTCAGACTGAATTTTTAAAAACTTTGTTTACAAAAGATGCACTTTAAATTTCAGGGCACAAAAAGGAGAAAGTGAAAGTATGGAGAAAAGATATACCACACAAACCCTAATCAACAGAAAGTTAATGTTGCTATATTAATATCATGCAAAAGACATTTTAAGGCAAGAAGCATTACTAGAAATGAAGAATAATATAATGATGCAAGCATTAATCCACTAGATAATCATAACAACTGTACATTTAAAAGGTACCTAATAACTTAATCTCAAAATATATAAAGCAGAAACTGTCAGAATTGAAAGGAAAAGTAAATCCTGAATCATAATATGATAACATATCTCTGTCAGTAACTGGTAAAATAAACAGATTTTAAAAATCACTAAAAGTATACACAGTTTAAAGAATGTGTTTAGGGCAGGCATGGTGGCTCACATCTGTAATCCCAGCACTTTGGGAGGCCAAGGTGGGAGGATCCCTTGAGGCCAGGAGTTCATGACCAGCCTGGGTAACATAGCAAGACCCCATCTCTACAAAAAAAAGAAAAGAAAAAAACGAAAAAAAATTAGCTGGGTATGGAGGCCTACACTTGTAGTCCTAGCTACTTGAAAGGCTGAGGCAGGAGAAACCCTTGAGCCAGGAGTTTGAGGCTACAGTGAGCCATGATCACACCACTGCACTCCAGCCTGGGCAACACGGGGTCTTGCTCTGTTACCCAGGCTGAGTGCAGTGGCGTGATCTCGGCTCACTGCAACCTCCACCTCCTGGATTTAAGCAATTCTTCTGCCTCAGCCTCCCAAGTAGCTGAGACTATAGGCGTGTGCCACCACACACGGCTGATTTTTGTATTTTTAGTAGAGATGGGTTTCACCATATTGGCCAGACTGGTCTCGATCTCCTGACCTCATGATCTGCCCGCCTTGGCCTTCCAAAGCGCTGGGATTATAGGCGTGAGCCACTACTCCTGGCCCAGTCATGGGTTCTTAGTTTCTGTTTCTGATTGGGCCGGTAAAGCCCCTTCCTCATTCTTATTTTCCACTTATCACCAGAGACAGAAACTAAAAACCATGGCTTCAGGCTGCTAAAAGCCTAAAACTAAACAAAACAGAACAACACAACAACAAAATCAAATGGGTTGGACAAGCTTGCCAGATGTCCTCAGAATGCAGCACTCTTTTTTTGTTTGTTTTTTGAGGCAGAGTCTTTCTCTGTCACCCAGACTGGAGTGCAGTGGCACGATCTCAGCTCACTGCAACCTCTGTCTCCCGGATTTGAGCGATTCTCCTGCCTCAGCCTCCCCAGTAGCTGGGACTATAGGTGTGCGCCACCACGCCCAGCTAATTTTTTGTACTTTTAGTAGAGATGGGGTTTCACCGTGTTTCGACTTTCTGACCTCGTGATATGCCTGACTCGGCCTCCCAAAGTGCTGGGATTACAGGCCTGAGCCAACCCGCCTGGCTGGAATGCAGCACTCTTTACTTGGAGATAATGCCAACAAACAGGCTTAGGTTGAAGGATTATAATGGTCATGTAAAATTGATAATGCCTATAGTCCCTACCTTTAGTAAGTACATAGGCACGTTCCAAGTTTAGTCACAGCTCCTTGTAATTTCTTTCTTTCTTTCTTTCTTTTTTGAGACAGAATCTCGCTCAGTCGCCCAGGCTGGAGTGCAGTGGCACGTGACCTTGGCTTACTGCAACCTCCGCCTCCCAGGTTCAAGCGATTCAACTGCCTCAGCCTCCGGAGTAACTGGGACTACAGGAGCACACCACCATGCCCGGCTAAATTGTTGTATTTTTAGTAGAGACGGAATTTCACCATGTTGCCCAGCCTGGTCTTGAACTCCTGACCTCAGGTGATCCACCCACGTTGGTCCCCAAAGTGCTGGGATTACAGGCATGAGCCACTGTGCCTGGCCTCCTTGAAGTTTCTTACAAGTAGAAGCACTAACAAAGGACGATGCATTCCTCCTCCTGCTTTCTGAGGATGCCCTACTCTGTAACAGAGTAGTTACCAATAAACTTGCTTCTTTCACCGTGCTCTGTGACTCCCTCTGAATTCTTTTCTACGTGAAATCCAAGAACCTGCTCTTGGGGTCTGGATTGGGACTCTCTTTTCTGGCAACAGGAACATGTGCACTCAGGGCAGAGCTCTCCCAGGGGTAAAAGGATTTGAATATTCTGAGTTCTCCAGCAAATAGCTGACATACTGGTGGTGGTGAGAGATGTCTAGGGTGAATGTTCTAGAGGTAAAGGTCCTGGTGCTGGTGAGGCATGGGGATGCCAGTGTGTGGAGGGGGTGGGGCGGGGGGGTGGAGATGAGAGATTCAAAGAACAGCAGGGCAAGTGGAACTGATCATCCAGTGGACATTGACTTCATGGAGCATGAAG